ATGAATGCAGTTTGAATCTAGCTCCTGCCTAATTTAAAGCCCTCAAAGCACTCAAATTTTACCCCCTTCTGTGCATTGTGCATGCATTGCAGATGACAATTGATCAATCTCTGAGCAATCTGTATTTGACCTTTTTGCTTGCTGTGCAGTCGATGACATTTGTTTTTGTTTATGTATATACAGGAAGCAACCAGTGTGCACATATCATAACCACAAGCTTGTCTGCAGTACTAATGGATCAAAAGGTTTAAAGTCAATGAGATGGACTGTGATGCTTGCACTGATGGTGATGATTAATTTATGGATTATTTTTTGAGAAAAGGGTTTTTTTTTTCCCCCATGAAGCTTAGAGGTGTGTTTATTTTACATCCCCTTTGAATTTACAGAGCAGCACCTGAAAAGAATGTAAGAATTGTCCATACTGGTTGTACATATGAAGTTATTCATTTTATTCTTTCCTTCAGAAGAGGGAAAATAATGTATGCCATCTGACTTAATTTGGATCAGCACTATATGTGTAAAATATTGTATAGCAAAGCTGGTATGGCGCTTTGTAATGCCAAAAGTATATCACCATTGCTTGGGCTATTAATATGCTTGTTGCTCCTTACTTATAAGGCCACTGGCTGTTTAATCAAGTACAAAGCATTCCGGTTTGGGCTAAATCTCAAACATAAACCAAACCAATGTAATGTCATGGTTCGTATTGATTCGGTTTAGGCCTCAAATTTGCATCATGGTTCCGATTGAGGCCTTGTATTTTTTTAATTGCTTATGAAGGAAAATAACCAAATCAATCGGTAAAAGGGAACTTCACATTGAAAATTGAACGGTTTAGGGGTTTTAACTTTTAGAATTAAATATTAATTTATGAGATGAAACATAATAGTAAATGATGATAACCAATAAGAAAATGCCAATTATAAAAACAAACAATAAAATCAATATAGGCAATTTAGTTTGGTTTAGGGGTTTCCAAATAGGTCAAATCAAATTGAATCAAAATAATTGTAGTTTGATCCGTCCAGTCTAAAATCACAATATTTTTGTGTGTGTATAAAATTCGAACAAAATCAATTGAATTAGTCTGAACGGTTTTATCAACCCAACATAATAATTCTCAAAATTGAAATAATACACGCAATAATTTCTCAGCTAATGAAGTCTAGCCCAATGAAAAGAATCTTAACTTGTAGACTAGTGGTATCAAGTTCAAACCCTCATGACACTTGATAGTGTATATGTGAGAAAATCCTCTCCTCCAATATCTTTGCATCTAAAAATAAAATCATTCCCAAAGGATTTTTTAAAAAAACATATAATCACAAAACAATGCCTCCTCATCGTTAAAAATACGAACGAGAACGAAGCAGGTTGTCCATATGTATATATACAAGACTGCTCCTTAACACACAGACAACGAGAAAAATAAAATTATAAAATAAAAAATGGTGGGTGGTGGAAAGGGATGTTGGGGATTTTTGTTAAATAGGGGGCGATTCGTTTTTTTTTTTTAAATTGTCGAAACCCAAAAATACTCACGGTCATACGCAGAATGGTCAATCAGTTGGTTGGGTAGGTCTCACGAGTGTCACGTCAGCATTTAACGATTGACATTGACCGTGTGGTCAACTTAACAGAAAGATGAAATTGGACGATGTTGAAAACGTAAGGGTGTAAATTGATAAAATTGATACCCTATGGCTCAAATTGAGAATGACCCCAAATCTGCAAGGTATTTTTGTCGTTAGCCATTAAATATTTTAAAAATTATGTCTTTCTTTTGAAAGTAAAGTAAAGGAGTGTTATGTGGAAGTGTCAGGTGAAAATAAACAACAACTACTAAGGGATAAAAGAAATAGGCTTATTATCACAAAATGTCCATAAGGTTTACAAAAATATCATATTGCATCCTTAATGTTTTTTTTTTTGTCATTCGTGGTCCTCAAGGTTAGTATGTGTGATCACAAATGGTCAATGTCGTTAGGTTCCATAAAAAACTCCGTTAATTTGCTGACGTGGTATATACATATATCATAAAATATCCTTGAGGTTTACGTACCTATTACAAATGGTCCCTACAAATTTTTTTTAGTTTTTTAATTTAAAATTCATAAAATTTTGGTTTTAAAAAAAAAAATTATGAATTTTAAATACACATGACATTATATTATTGTAGATGTGAGCTCCATATATATGCCATATCAACAAATTAATGGAGTTTTTTAAAAATAATTTAAAATTCATAAAATATATAAATAAAAAAACTAAGGATTTAGGGTTCATAAATGGTCCTCAAGATTAAATCCTTATATAAATAGTTTTTTCATTTATAAATAATTTTAAAAAGAAAACCAAAATTTTATGAATTTTAAATTAAATTTTTTTTGTAAAGACCATTTGTGAAAGGTGTGTGAACCTTAGGGATGTTTTGTGATATATGTATATGTCACGTCAGCAAACTAACGGAGTTTTTTACGGAACCTAACGGCAGAGACCATTTGTGATTACACATACTAACCGTGAGGACCACGAATGACAAAAAGAACATTAATGATGCAATATGATAGTTTCGTAAACCTTAGGGACGTTTTGTGATAATAAGCCAAAGAAATAAAACAAAAACAAGAACACCAAGATTTATATTGGTTTGGCCTTGCCTACCTCTAGTTTGGAGACGACGGAATATTCCACTATAATCAAATAAGAGAATACAATAGTGTTTAACACTCAAAAACTCAACCCCAAAATATACCCAAGCTCACAAAATCAAGAATACAAAGGGAATACAAAGTGATTAATTTATGGATTAGTTTTTGAGAAAATGGTTTTTTTTTTTCTTTTTCCATGAAGTTTAGAGGTGTGTTTGTTCTATATCCCTTTTGAACTTACAGAGCAGCACTTCAAAAGAACGTATTAATCTCTTTGTCAAAGAATTGTCCACACTGGTTGTACACATGAAGTTATTCATTTTATTCTTTCCTTGAGAGGAGGGATGATAATGAATGCAGTCGGCTTGCTTTACACACTTTCTTTTTCTCCTCTCTCCCTTCTCGAACTGGGTTTGATCAAGTTGGGTCTAATGAACTGGCTCAACCCAATCCATGTATGCCATCTGACTTAATTTGGATCAGCACTATGTGTAAAATATTGTATAGCAAAGCTGGTATGGCCCTTTATAATGCATAAAGTATATCACCATTGCTTGGGCTATTAATATGCTTGTTACTCCTTACTTAGAGGGCCACTCACTGTTTAATCAAGTACAAAGCATTCCGGTTTGGGTTAAATCAAAACATAAACTGTTAGTACGAAATTCGTATTGACATTTCCTAGACTTTAGTATAGGGTGAAAATTAGTTTGTGAGGAATTGTTATTGAACGCTTTGTCACTACTCTTTCAACCCCACACTTCCGAGGCATGCCCTGACCATATGAAAATCTTGACCTCAGGTAAATCATGACATAATCACGCATTCATTATAGGATTCCTAGTTGGAGTTATTTTCACTCAAGTATTTTTATGTTAATCTTATTTCTAATAGGATTATATTTTATCTCTTGAGATTACTTTCCTAGTTCAACTCTATTTTAATTGAAGTTAAAATATTATCTTTTCCTATTGTGACTTTGCACGTTGCTTACCTCTTAGTTAATTTGGTTTAAAGAGAGGCGTCATTACTTTGAGTCCAAGGTGAATCAAATCTCTTATTGATGATAGGTTGTGGTGCAATAGGAAGTTTAATATTCGTGGCCTATTGGTTTTCTCTCCCATGAGAGAGAACAAGTCTTGTATAAAAGATCATGTGCCATTCTTTTATTTGCACAGCTTTTGAGATATTTGTTTTGAGCATATAGAATTCTAAGAAAAGCTGCTGTGCGTATATTTGAGATAAATCATCAAGTGTTCAATGTTTACTTGGTGATTTATCAAACACTTTAATCATTCATATTGCATTCATATGCATGTCGGTGACTCATACGGTTGAGGGCACCAAGACCGTGGTGGCGGTTTTCCTCCGGTGAGCTTGAAGCAATCGTGGCCAGTATTGCGTTCAACATAAGGAGTGTCGAAGATCATCCCGTGACAGAAGTTGAGTTACGAAGAAGTCGGTAAACATTATCTAGAATGTGTCTAGGATAAGTGTGTGAGTACTTCTTGTAATCATCGTTCTATAGTGGATTTGTGTTGGACTGAGGAGTCCCGTGGATTTTCCCCAGAGGTGGGGTTTTACCACGTAAAATAATTCTCTGCGTGTTCTTTTATTTTATGCCCAGCACGTTACAGGATTGATAAGCCATATCAATCCTGCTACAACCAAAACCAAGGTAATATCATGGTTCATATTAATTTGGTTTAGGCCTCAAATTAGCATCATGGTTCCGATTGAGGCCTCGTATTTGTTTAATTGCTTATGAAGGAAGATAACCAAATCAATCGGTAAAAGGGAACTTCATATTGAAAATTGAACGGTTTAGAGGTTTTAGCTTTCAAGATTAAATATTAATTTGTGAGATGAAACATAATAGTAAATGATTAACTAATAAGAAAATGCCAATTATAAAAACAAACAATAAAATCAATATAGGCAATTTAGTTTGGTTTAGGGGTTTCCAAATAGGTCAAATTAAATTGAATCAAGATAATTGTAGTTTGATCTGTCCGGTCTAAAATCACAATATTTTTTTGTGTGTATAAAATTCGAACCAAAACAATTGAAATAATACAATTGAATTAGTTTGAACGGAAATCAACCCAGCATAATAATTCTCAATTGAAATAATACACGCAATAATTTTTTATTAGTTGAAGTTTTTATATTATTTCTCAGCGGATAGTCAACTAAGTCTAACTTAGTGAAAAGAACTTTAATTTGCAGACTAATGGTATCGGATTCAAACCTTCTTAACATATTGACAGTGTATAAGTGAGAAAATCCCCTCCTCCAGTATCTTTGCATCAAAAAATAAAATCATTTCCCAACAGATAATTTTTTTTAAAAAAAAAACATAAAATCACAAAACATGGCCTCCCCATCGTTAGAAATACGAACGAGAACGAAGCGGGTTGTCCATACGCATATATACAATACCGCTCCTCAACACGCAGACAGCGAGAAAAATAAAAAATGGCGGGTGGTGGAAAGGTGTCCTTCAAAGTCACTCTAACCTCCGATCCAAAGCTCCCCTTCAAAGTGTTCGTATAACCCTCGATTTATATCTTCAATTCCTCTTCGTTAACGTCTCTTCTGCTTCTCGATTTACAATAATTTGATGAAATTTCTCAGCTTTTGTTTTTGTTTTTTTTTTTCAGGTTTAGCGTTCCTGAGGCAGCCCCTTTCACCGCCGTTCTGAAATACGCAGCTGAAGAATTCAAAGTTCCTCCCCAAACCAGCGCTATTATCACCAACGGTATTTCATTCCTGGGCTTTTGCATGTTGCTATTGATTTCATTTTTGTCTCGTTAAGTCTGATTTTATAATTGATCATCGGTTTGCAAATTGGTATTGATTTCTTTTTCGTCTTGTAAAGTATTTATTTTTTTAATCGATGATTTGGGTATGATTAGAAATTTCATTGATTGATCGAATTAGGGTTTATGGTTTCCGGAATTGGGAATCCCTTTTTATGATTCAGTGTGAGATTAGATCTCTATGAAAACAGAAGTTGTACTCTTTAATTGAGAGCTCGGACTTTTAATTCTTGTAGAGCATCATAAGTGATGCAAATTTCAAAATCAAAATTGAAAACTTTGAACCAAGGGAAGAACGGAAAAGGATGGAGCTGAGAGAATTTAAGCAAAAAGGGGGAATTTGAATTGCAGACGACATTCTAGGAATTTTTTATATTATTGACTGGTCCATCATCATTTTCTATGTGACTAAGCTCATGTAAAGTTCACTTGAAGGCAGTCTACGGTATCCTCTAGAACTTGTAAAGAATATCAACAGTGCATGACTTGTTTTGGTTGCTGAGATGTAACTGAAAAATGTCCTGCATTTTTTTTTGAAGAATCAATGTGGCCAATTTGAAATGCAAAACCATTTTGCCAAAACATACCGATATCTCCAGTCCTCTTCCCGTCCTGGACAACAGTGTTATTAGTTGAAGAACTGTTTGTTTTTCCCCTATACTTAGATCCAATCACAAATTGACATTGGTACTATCTAATCTTTAGACAATTGAAATTTAATTTGATAAACAGTGAGACTTTTATAATGAAAAACCCCTTATCTCCTAATTTGATATAAGTATGGGAAAAGTGCAGGTATGCCAATGCTTGTTGATTGTCACCATTCTATTAGTTCTCACTTGTTGATTGTTATTGTGCAGATGGTGTTGGAATCAATCCTCAGCAAAGTGCAGGTATGCCAATGTTTTACCTTTATTGCTTTATTTCTTTTCCCCGTTCAATTTTGACCAGAAAAGAAAGTGTATACTTTATATTTAAGAAAAAGGGAATGGTGGAAATACTGACATGATAGTTTTTGCTAGCGCCTGCACTGGGGCTGTTGCTTCTTTGTCATTCTTTACACATGAAGTGAGACCCATTGGCACACCTTAATATAGAAATTAAAATCTATCATCCTAGACTTGAGTTTAAGTTTATTGGTAAGTTACTTGAAAACTAAAGGGGTATGAAAATGAATCTATGGATTCTTTATATGAGGACGGTTTAATGTTGTTTTAGTTTAATGCTATAATATATGTCCATGGAGATGTATAAAAAATTGCTAATGAGTGCTATTGTTCTGTGCACCTCCCAACAGATGGCAAACTGTCATTATTATAGAATGGCTTATATCCTTGGTTTCACATAAATTTTTTACTGGCTTTCTCAGGCAATGTGTTCCTCAAGCATGGTTCTGAATTACGCCTGATTCCTCGAGATAGGGTTGGGGCTTTTGGGACAACGGACACAGCATTACCATCAAACTGAAGAAATGGTCTACTTCTTCATGTGAGGTCTTTTTTCTTTTTTTCTTTTTTATGGTATGTACCTTATTATTAAGTTGTGAGGATTATCTGCGTCAGTTTAGTTGACGATATTAACTCTCCAGTTAAACCGAGATGACAGGTGACTAATAGATGCATTTGAATAATATTGAAAGGATAATATATCAAGGACAGTTACAGTTCTGCTTTCTCTGTTGGAGGTCTATCTGTCCTGCGTCCTTAGAAATTAGAACATATACACAGCATCTTTTACCCCTTAAACCTGAGAAAATTTTCAAGTGTGACCGTAACACCGCCATGACTGGTGAACTCGAGAATTACTTGGGAGCTATTTGGTACTTGGACTTGACTAAGTTACTTAATACATGCGCTCCTGCACCCGAGATCTTAGGTTCGACTCCCCATTCTTTCAATATCGCTTGTATAACAAAAAAGAATCACCTAGACTTGGCTGGGCTAGGTTTGGGATGTGATGTTTGTGGGCTATGCAGATGGTTAATCCTAGGGCAAAGTCACTCTGTCTCGGCCCAATATAGTGCACTTGGTAGGTATCTTACACTACCTAGCCAAGATTATTAACCATGGAGCTTTGTTGGAACCCATGTACAAACTGCACCCAGATTACAACCGTAAGAACATAGTCCGAAAAGGAGGTTCTTGCAATACATAAACTATAAAAGGGTTATTGATCCAAATGGTCTCTCAATTATTGCTCTAATATCATTTTGGTCAACCAACTAAAATTTTCATTTGAACCGTCCTTCAACTCTTTTTTTTTGTATCAAGATGGTTCTACCGTTAAAGTTTGTCAATTTTATTGCTAAATTAAGGGGTAAAAATGGCTCTAAGAATTAAAATAGTAATATATAATTAAAAATTAAAGGAAACTATTATAAAGCTTAGAAAATTTTAAAAAACTGAATCTCACCAGCCACATGGCTATTTTTTTGGTGAGATTGCCTAACAATTAATAAAAAAAATTCTCTATTGTTTAAATTAATTAAAATCACATAAATATAAAAATAAAATAACAAATTTTTTAAAAGAGTAAACAATAATTAAAAATTAAAGGAAACTATTATAGGAACTTGTACCTAATTTTAAAATTGAAAAAATTGAATCTCACCACCAACATGGCTTTTTTTGGCTGACATGGACTTAAAAAGTAATAATTTTTTTTCTCTATTGTTTAAATTAATTAAAAAATTTAAAATCAGATAAATACAAAAATAAATAACAATAAAATTGATGGACTTTGACGATAGGACCATCTTGATACAAAAAAAAAAGAGTTGAAGGACGGTTCAAATGAAAATTTTAGTTAGTGAACCAAAATGATACTTAAGCAATAGTTGGGGGACCATTTCAGTCATTAACCCTTTTTTAAATAATATTTTACTTTTTTGCCACTCAATTTAATGGAATATTTGATAGACTTTAACAATAGGACCATCTTGATACAAAAAAAAAAAAAAAAAGAGTTGAAAGACGGTTCAAATGAAAAATTTAGTTCGTGGACCAAAATAATACTGGAGCAATAGTTGGGAGACCATTGGGATCAATAACCCACTATAAAAACATAACCAACTAAGCATACAAAACAGTTAGAACAAATATACATCTTGAATCCCAGTTAACATGGAGTTACAGATCAGGAGGACTCAAATCTCTGCAACAACTACTGCTTCAAGAAGATCAAGGCAAAAAATAATCTCTCAAACATCATGAGGCAAGAAACACCTCAAAAGTGGAGGGCATAACCGCTAATCTTCCACTAGGACATTCCACAAAATATCACAGCATCTCCTATCCCCACTTGATCCCGAAGCACAATAGATTGTAGACCCACCAAATTCAGCAACTCCACCTCCAATACAGAGAGATCTACAAGATATCTACCACAAAAATAGCAGATCTATCAAGATCTTCCAAAAACCAGCCCCAAAAGGCGGGGACACAAACCCTAGAGAAATAGGGATGAAACAAAACCTTGCAAAAGCAAGGATCAGACAAAATCCAACAAAAGTTGGGAGGGAAAACCTCTCCACAACATAACCGGGGGATAGGGTGAGGGGAAGGCCCGATTATTAGCCGAAGGGGGTGGTTCCAGGAGAGAGGCTTGCCTGACTTTAGTGTTCCAATTCTGGCTCTACAAAATATGAATCTGGCATTAACAATACATATATATGCTGCTGTTATTTATATGAGCCGCCCAACCAACCAACTGAAAACCAACTCCTCCCCCAGATTGTTTTCATCAAAGTAGAGTAGGGATTGTCATTAACCAACTAAAAACTACAACACCGCCATATTGGTTTGATCCTAAGTAGAGTTGACATTGGCATTGGTTTGGTAGGGCACATTGACATTGGGAATTGTATAGTTTTCGATTTGTTAGTTGTTAAGGGCTCGTTCGGTAACCTTTTCAAAGAATATTTTCATCAAATAAAGTCAATAAAACAAATTTACAATTTAAAGATATGATTCCGTTGAAAAATCAACCATGGTATATAAACCAAGGGAACAATGCCAATGCTAATTTGGCATTACTTATTTTGAAAACTTGTGTTCTCTCAAACTAGCAAACATGAAAACCTAATCAAAGGATAAATATCTTGAGCGCTAGCTAGTTCAAAAGGACATCGCTGTCCAAAAATGGATGGTAGGACTGAAGACACGACAAATGCATTTAGATTTGTATCTAACTAAAAGAGCTCTTCAATGAGGTGATGAATTTTCTGTACTGACCCATCAGATTTATTTGTCTCCCTAACCAGCTTTCCAGTTTATGCATCCATGGCTAATAGCAAACTTAGCCCCACCAGCTAAACTCCACGCCTAAGTTTTGTCATTGCGTATTCGGAACATTCAAGCTTTATATCATCACAAAGTTGATGGAGAGCTATTAATGCAAGAAGCTGGAAACTGCTCCAAATAGTAAAGATAAGACATTGATGGACCATTTCTTGGTGCATTTGGTTTTACCTGAAATTTCCATGTTAACATGTTTAATTCACCACTTTGATGTCGGTTGTAATTCAAGGATGGCTGGTTGAATTTACATTTTTTGTTTGCTGTAATTCGATGTTAATAATTTTAGTCATGTAGTTTAGCTTGGTGTGCAAGTAAGTTCAAATCGTAAACTTCATCTTCACTCTCATCCACATTTTCATTCTCCTTCGTTTTCCTCTATACTTTAGCGCCAAAAAAATAAGAATAAAAAAAAAAACTAAAATTGAAACATTTATCAAGCATGTCCTACAGCAATAAAAATTGAGTCAAACTACAGATACAACAAATTGTAATTTGGTCTTCAAGGAGTGGGATTGCATCCTATCCAATCACCTTAAACTTCCTTTTCGATTTGGAAAGATAGAGCTAGATCACTTTATGCTTGTTTAGTTTGGCAAAACCTTAACTAACCATATCATTAAACCTTGCACATTGTTTCCTTAAAGTTATGCAATATGTCAAACTCACTTTATTTCAACTTTGTACAGAAACTAGTTTGTCAAAGTTTATGTGAGCCCAATAATGGTTGTGGGTTCAATGATACTTCATTCTCATTAAAATGTAAGATCAAAATTCAATCATAAAGTAACTTGAGTCGAAGAAGTACGTTCTAACACCTTACGAAGTCATGATCGAGAATGAATAAGAATTGTGTTTGCACTTAGCAATTGCCCTATATACACACTTGTAATGCTTGTATTGTTCGTTTTCTTTTAAAAAGAATGTTCACAATGCAAAGATCATGGGGCTTAAGTTAACCCTAAACCTAGCAAGTTGGAATGTTGCAAGGGCACTTTTTTTATTCAATTTCTAAGATTGTTAACTTTAGTGACACTCACAATTTACAACACAATGTGCGGATGATTAGAATATAAAATCAGCAAATCGTGTTTTGCTGAACTGCTGATTTTATAGCGATCGCACACCTAATAAACCCATTTGATTGGAATTAATTTAAGAGATTAACTTACAGCAGTTTACAGAAATACCATCACAAAGCTTAAAAGCACTATTGGATTGGGGGGTTAATATCGTAAGTGTGACTCCGTCCATCCTCGCTAAAGTGGAAGAACCGCAAGTCTCGGAGAGTTTTCGGTACTCTTCGTGTCTTTTGACCCTTTTAGTCTTTTAAGGAATTCATAGTTCCCACGTGATGGGATGCCACCACCGCATCCGTGGTACCCTTTTTTCTTATATGACCATTCTACCCTCATGAAAAGAAAAAAGGTAGAAATTTTTTTTTTTCCGGTTGAAGTGAACAATTCTCAACACCAAAATCAAACATGAAAGGCAGGACACAAGCACAATCCTCCTAAGAAAATGGTTGCTGGAAAGCACATTCATCTTAAGAAGTTGACTACCTGAACCAAATCACGAGGGACTTTTAAAAAAAAAAAGAACAAAAGAACATAAACCTAAAACCGGGTGATGCAATAAGTGTGGCCTTATTAAAACTTTGTCTTAAAAAGTCTTCTAAAATGGAGGAAAATTCAGTCAAGAAAAAAAAGTACCACTGCATCACAACAACAACAAAAACAACTCCTAAACTATAATATTCTCTGTTAAACATTGGAAAAAAGGTTGATTTTAACAAATTGAAAACATTTATTCTGTATGATATAAAAATCCAATAACTTTTCTAATAATGTTTCTTCCCAATTTATCTTTATTGATCAAGATTCTTTTAAAACATTTTTTAAATTTTCGGGGGTGCATTTTTCATTTCTTACTTTTAATTGGTAAAACAAGTCGTTTTAGAAATTCAAATATACATTTGCTGTTACAAATCAATTAGCTCTTGATTTAGTGGTACTCTATTTGAAGTTTGAATCCCTTCCGCCCAAATTCATGAGAAAAAGTCATACAATTTTAACTATTAAAAAAATAAAAAAAATAAAAACTCATATGTCGACTCAAAATTCTAGTAATGGGCATCACCATCTCCTTGTTGTTGAAGTTATGTAAGCTTTCAAATGGTCCCAACCAGTTTGCTTTATGCTTTTCATCTTTATCTGGGTATTAGTATAGCGGTCCTTCAGGTTGTGTTTGTGGTTCGAAATTTTTTGGGCCAAACAAGTTGCCTGCCTGCCTAGTGATAATGAACCTCCTTAGTTGCCTTTAAAAACTAGGTTGATTAATTATGAGGCATATATTTTGCTACCAAAAAAATATATATTGTATGTCAAACCGAGTAGTTTTCAGTTGGATGGCGATGGACTCGGCTGCATTAGGTAGTAGTGCCCGAATGGCATGCGGATGAAAGGGATAGAATGAAAGCATACGTATACCCTATAACCCACGTCAAAGTGCCAAGCCAAGTGCTATATCGCACTCGCCCACTTCCAATTGGACTTAGTTTTGGGTGGAACGTATAGGTGATGGCGGCTTGGAGGTGGCATGGCCATCTCAAGCCTACGTGTGACTTCGGCACTCTGGCAAGCGCTCTACGTCCGTCGAATATCTATCGAGTTTTAGGATTTTTTTGCCTAGAGTTGAATGGTAATGGAGTTCATGATTATGGGATGAGTGGAGTTGATAATTTTGCCATGAGTGGAGCTAAGACATTATTGTTTATAGAAGATTATGAAAAATGCCAAAGTCTCTACAGCGACTTGTAAGACGTAATATATTGGATTGTTTTTTAATTTAATAAGTTTAATTCAATTATTTATGAGTTTAGCAAATATTAATTAAGATATTAGTACGTACGGAATAACTATACGTATTTAGAATTAATGCTTAGATCGAAGAACATACACACCGAAGTGTCTACCTCTCTTTGGTAACCTTACCTCTATGGGTTTGTTAACTTTGCTTAGATTTATATTAGGATAATGGATTGGGACTTTTCAAGCTTTTAAAATACTTCACCACTCTTTAATTATCCATTTCTTCATTGACATTCGCTTGATGCTTTCTTATATCGCCATGCATATACTACTTTCTTAATGCATACTCAATTTTTCCTTTAAGATAAGTTGGTTAGAAGACAACCACAAAACCAAATTTTAGTACTATTGTCACTAATTTTTCGTAGTATTTTTTTCATTAGTGCAACACGTGATGGAGCCACATTAGGCCTACTGACTCCAAGAATTTTTTTTCCCTTTCAATCCAATAATCTTGAGTGAGTATTCGATCATAATATTATGAAATTTCAATTTTACGAAAAGAAGTAAGATATTTGATAAAACGTCCCTCGACTAAGAGAAGGTCAAGACACGCCCACCTACATTCAGTTTAATAAGCTTTTTTTTGGTATGCCTCCACAATGACAAACTCTTGATCCAATTGTCACTGTACTTGTTTCAGTATATTGTTTCTTTTTGCGTACATGGGATGGGAGGAGAGATTCAATTCAACAATTCTCCTCTTCCCTCATCTTATTATAGTAAAAGAACAAAAAAGGAAAAAAAAATCATTACATGGTGGTTAAATGTGTAATAACATGTTCCTCACGAGGGCATAAATGTCCTGAGGCGGGAATGTGGGAATGTGGTAAAGGCAGAACCTGAGGCGACGCAATTGTAAACGGGGTTGGGTTTCTGCCGTTCCGCTTCTCCATCTGGCAAGGCGACTAGAAGAATTGAAACTCTTTTGCGCCTCCGTTACATGAATTAATTAATTAAAATATAGTATCTAAATTTTTCTGACATGTATCCCACGTCGGCTAGGCTTAGGTGGCTGGCTTGGGTGGCTGCAGCCATCAACTTCACTACACTCCATTATTTGCAGAACAAAAACTAGGTGGCTTGTCCAAAAAAAAAGAACATGCGCTCTCTTTTCAGACTATTGACCAAAAAAAATCTTATATTTTATATTATATTATATAAAAAAGAAAAATAAATTTTAATTTTAATTCCAATTGATGTGGCATAGCTCCTGACCTATTTTACTATTTCATTAAGAGAAATTAGTGAACATTATTAACTTTATGTGCATGTAAATATATAGGTGGTATAGCTAACATTTTCCCTAAAACTTATAAACAAATTTAATAAATGAGAATGTTTTCATGTTCAACTAACTTAACTTACTTTCTTATACATTAGCCGGTTGGCACGCGAATGCAATAACAAACAAGTAGATGTGAGTTAGGTTAGTTGACGGATACAGTGATTCCATCTTTTGATACTCGAGTTTGAAATCCTTCCTTGTAATTTAACAATTTGATTGGTTTTTTTAATTTTAAAAATATATATAAATGAAAGATAATCTCATTGAGCCCAATTTTTGATGTCCTCATATCTCATAGATAGCATAGGATATTTGAAAGAGAAGCAGACAGAATAGGACGTTTCATTCAAAATTGAAAGTAGGACTACTTGAGAATAGAAAGAAATGAACAAAAAAGCCAAACCTCTACTAATAATAGAGAGGTTTATTAATTAGTTACACGAAAAAACCCAAAACACACTTGTCTATTTGTCTATTTGTCCATCCCCATCACCTGAAAAAGAAAGGAAGGAAGGAAAGTCCATCACAACTGTACCCCCATCATTGGCTTGGCTTCAACTCTAACTCAAGCCACTCAGCCTCTCTCTCTCTCTCTCTCTCTCTCTCTCTCTCTCTCTCTGTGACATACTATTTCTCCTAAAAATCTTGCAGCAACTCTCTGAATCAGAGAACCCATCTTTTTCTTTTAACACACTCTCTCTAGAATTCTCTGACACTTCAATTGCATGGGAATGAAGGCCAAGCCTCACCACCACCACCACCACCACTACAATGGCAATGGCGGTGGTGGCGGAGGTGGAGGTGGGAACGGCAGCGAGAGCAGCAGCAGCACATCACCCAGTCCACCACCGTCACCCCGCCGACACTCCAGCACACTCTCCCACTGCCGCCGGAAGCTCCGGTCCAAACCCATCTCCGTCGTCGCTGGATTTCTTCTCCTCCGTCGATTCCTTCGGTTACTGGTGGTGCTGCCTCTGCTCTACGTCTCTGGGCTTATCATGTGTGTCGGCCCGTTCTCTGGTCTGATGGGCCATACCCCTCTTCCCGGTTCTGTGTACCGTAGTCACGAAATGTTTGAGGTGCTCTGGCCTCACATTCAGGCTGATAATTCCACCCCAATTGAGGTTTGGCTCCTTGGGTTTCTCTCCTTTTTTGTTTTGATGAATACCCTTTTTGTTGCTCTCTGTTTGTTTGGTTTCTGGGAAAATGCAGGAAAAGCGTCGTTCTCCATCAAAAGAGTAAAGCATGAAAAGTAAAAGCAATAAAATGTTTCGACTTCAGATTTTCATTTTGTAGCTAAAGGACAAAAACTTTACTTATACAAGACTATTGCAGCTTAAATCTGTGATTTCAAAATTTTTCCTAAAGTTTTCCGATCAAATAAACAGTAGGATTGTAGGACAGTTGCTTAGTTCTCGCTGTTCTTCTCTTTTACCCAGTGTTTCTCTAAAGAAACGCTTGTCCATCTGAATTATATGAACTTTCTGATATCTGAACGTGGAAGTTAGTTATGGGTAGAAGAATTTTATTTGAATTTGGTCTGGGGCATATTTATTTTGAAAGCAAAAGGAGTTGATAGTTTATGAAAACGGGGAATTTGCAGATAGTCAAACTTTGATGTGGATAGGTTTAGATCCTAATTTTGCTTTCAAGTACTACTGCAATGGCCAATATCACTTGCTCAGTTATTTTGCCACTGTGCTCTGCTCCTCATTTGTTGCTGAATTTAACGTGCGGTGAAATTATTGCAATAATGCTATTAACCAAGATGATATGTTGTTTCTTGCTGTAGTTGTCTTCTGTGTGGAGATACAGAAGAAAGCTGAAAGAGCAGAAGCCATGCCCGCCTTCGACTGCTGGACTACAGTTAGGTATTTTCAAGACAGCACAATCTTGTATTAAGATGGCTGCTACAATTTTGACAAACTATTAAATTTACTTGTGGGAAATTGAAGGTTTGGTAGTTTTGGAATCAATGGTCATAAATCTTTATCTGATAGTTTTTTCTTGGCACCTAATATATTCTCCATTGAATTTCAGAGTCCCCTGGCCCTAGTGTTTACTTGATTGTGGAGGCTAATGGTGGTCTTAACCAACAACGCTCTGCGGTATGCTACTTGTCCTATTATTCTTATATTACTTCAATTTTCATTTGTTTTCTTTGAAAACTAGAGCATTAAGGCTGCCAGATATCTATGGTATGTTTTTTGGTAACCTTACATATCTCCTATGTGCTGGAATATACAGTTTGTTCTTCCTACTAAATCATGTTTTTTCACAGATTTGCAATGCCGTGGCTCTTGCTGGACTCTTGAATGCAATTCTTGTTATTCCTAACTTTGAATTTCATAATGTTTGGAGGGATCCAAGGTAAAGGAACTATATTGTTAAAGTCCTGACTCTTAAAACTTAAAATAGTAGTTCTTTCAATGAAGAACATTGATTCAATACTGCATTATAGTTTAGCAAGCATGCCTCATTGATCTTGATAAGTGTGTATAACCATGTCTAACCAACTTCAATGTGTCCGGAGCTAAAATGGGGTTGTCAGGTTCATATGCAGTCATCATCTAAATGACCAATAACATCTATTGAAAAGCCTGTCATGTGAGAGGAGAACTCAGAGCTTATAGACAGCATGAGGAGAATGATCTCTTTATAATCTTGCGTGAAATGATCTTGTGAAATTTCCTTATTGTGGTTTCAATTGAAATATAAAAAAAGTATCTTTGTTTGGCAGCACTTTTGGTGATATATATGATGAAGATCATTTCATAGCCACCCTTGAAGGCCATGTTAAAGTGGTTAAAGAGCTACCTGAGATGGTATTGGAGAGATATGATCACAGCATCGCTAACATACCAACCCTTCGTGTCCAAGCTTGGGCTCCTGTGCGTTATTACAAAGGAGAAGTTTATCCTATCCTGCAGAGGCAGGGGTAGGTACTGAACTGTTTTTTTTTTTTTTTTTCCCATTCTATATCAATTTTCCTTTTGGAAGTTAATTCTGTTGTTTTTGCTTGCTTTTTGGTTTATGCAGGGTTATCCGCATAGCTCCATTTGCTAATAGATTAGCAATGAATGTCCCACCTTCTATTCAGCATTTAAGATGCCTTGCTAATTATGAAGCATTGAAGTTCTCTTCTCCCATATCAAATTTGGCAAGGAAACTAGTTGAACGAATGACTGAGATGAGTTCAAGGACTGGTGGGAAGTATGTTTCGATCCACCTCCGTTTTGAGGAGGTAATGAGCTTATTTTCTGTAAATTGTTAAAAGTTTTTGGTTCATCTTATGTTTAATGGTCAAGAAAATTAATCATGTTATCAACTGTCGTTCTTCTTCCTGCAGGACATGGTGGCATTCTCATGTTGTTTGTATGATGGGGGAGAGGCTGAAAATAGTGAAATGAATTCAATTCGACAAAAAGGATGGGGAGATAAGTTCAAACGAAAAGGCCGTGTAACTCTGCCTGGTCTCAATCGGATTGATGGAAAATGCCCACTAACCCCCTTGGAGGTAATCTACTTTGATAACTATTATTGCTTTTTAGACCTGTTACTTTGAATGTAAGGTGTTCCAGATAAACCTTTGGAGTTAATCTACTTTGATAACTTTTGTTGCTTTTTAGACCTGTAAAACTTTGAATGTAAGGTATTCCCAATAAACCTTTTTTTAAAGGAGAAAATGTGGTTATTTTATATTCTAATTTTGTTGTCATAATTCCACATGTATCTCGTACATTCTTGTAGGTTGGAATGATGCTGCGGGGTATGGGGTTTGATAATAGCACTTCAATTTATTTAGCCTCAGGAAAAATCTACTGGGCAGAGAAACATTTAGCCCCTCTGCTAAAGATGTTTCCCTATCTGCATACAAAGGAGTCTCTTGCAACCCCAGATGAGCTTGCTCCTTTTAAGGTTCATATCTTACTAGCTTTTATTAACTGTGTGCCCAAGAGAGTATTTTGGAATTGGTGAAACAATCACTTTGAAATCTACCACCCTAAAAGTTTATCTACTCTTCTGGCTCTACTTCTATCTTTGAAATTGTAAAGTTCTGCCTAGTTAAATTCATGATTTTAGTAATGGGTTGACAAATGCTATGAACTCTGTAGAAACCAAGCTGTACCGAAAATGAAATAGCCACTCCCATGTTGAATCCACGTACTTGCTCTAAATCTGGTTATCTCTTGTGCTAGGGATATTCTTCGAGATTGGCAGCTTTGGATTATACAGTATGCTTGTCTAGTGAGGTTTTTGTAACAACACAGGGTGGGAACTTCCCACATTTCCTAATGGGTCATCGGAGATTCCTTAATGGTGGACATGCCAAGACTATTATACCTGATAAGCGCAAGCTTGTTGTTTTACTGCATGACATGAGTATCAGGTATTGTGTAGGTGTAGTTTATGTAAAATAGTGTAGGTGTAGTTTCTGTAAAATAAAATACTTTCTGCTTGCAACACCCTGATTTTAAGATTTCAAGTTCATATATGCTAACAGTAGGCTTATATGCAAACTCTCTATATATTTGGTTTTGCAGCTGGAAAGATTTCAAACTTGAGATGGAAGCAATGCTCACGGAAAGTGACCGCAAGGGAAAGATAATACCTAGAGTGAAAAAATTCACCAAAAAATCTTCTGTATACAGCTACCCTTTGCCAGATTGTGGGTGTCTCCAAAAACACAATAGCACTGGGATTGACCCATCTGCACATTCTTGATTTTCATGACAAGCTAGGAGATGAAAAAACAAACCTAATGCTTCAAAAGTTTCTTCTACCTGTGCCGTCATCAGACGCCATTTATATTGGGGCCTTGGCTCTTTTCTACTGTGGATTTTGAAGCGGCTCATTGCTCTAAAGCCTGTTGGGAAAATGTAGATAGTCCTCACAGCAGGTTTTCCAATTTTGGTTGCAGAAGGATTCCCTTATTTCATGTTATTCTTTTTTCCCTTTTTCGTATGGAGATGTCAGGAGCAGCCTCTGGCAATGTTGGGGCATTGCTCAACATTTGTCATATATAGATTGGATATTTGACATATAAGTTTTTAGCTAGATTTGACATTACAGCTCTGGTCAGATGGGGTTTAGTGGTTGATACGCTGGTTTTGCAGTTTGATTGTTTTTTGTTAGCCTTTAAGGCATTTCTGAATTCTGAGTACATAAATACTTCGTTCTTGCAAGTTTGCGCATCGTTTTGTATCTTGGAAACTACTTTGATATAGCAAGTACAGTGGCTGCATTGTTTTCTTTAATCAACAGAGAGGAGGATTCGATTTTGGGACCTCTTTCGATATTACAAGACCAAGAGTCAGCTTGATATGTGAAAAAATTTAGTGTACCAATTGAAATAACATGTTCTTTCAACATTGAAAAGAGAAATAACGCTAGATTAAGAAGCAGACGGCTATTTCTTACATATATATATATATTAACTTGACCTTATGTATAACTATAAACTATTGTTAAATTTTTGTAATGAATGCAATAAAATTTGATTATGGTTAAGCATAATATAACATATAGTACAAAACCAGTGCACTTGTAAACATGAGTTAGATTACTTCATCATGTAAGTACGCCATGCATGCCGGCCTCTAAGGTAAGGGTAAATATGACATTTTTGGTTTCATCTTTTGCTGTATTTTTTAAAAAAGAAATTTTAAAGTTGATAAACGACGAAACGATGATATCTGTCAGAATTCATTTGAAGCCTCCGTCAGCGGTGGCGTGGGTGCTTAAACTTGACCACGTGTTAGAAGCCCATGTAAGGCAAAGTACTGGGCCCTCGCTACAAACATGTAGGGCCCAGTCTCGACGCGGGCACGTGCTTGCATTATTGGCGATGCACGAACTCATATTCAATTGACCATGGAAATTGTGTATTTGAACCGCATAGCTCTAGCTTTGCGCCAATGCGGGCGAGTTCGCGCCTCGAATCACGGCAAATCATTTCACTGCCAATTGATCAAGCTCGGCGTTTCGAATGACGTGTTCCTTGCCAACAATCTGATTTTCATGTACGTTGGATTTCCTTGTTTAGAAGACGCACGGAAAGTGTTCGATGAAATGCCTGACAAGAACGTTGTCACATGGACCACAATGGTCTCTGGTTATACTAATTGTGGGAAACCTGAAAAGGCTGTGAGGCTATATACCCAGATGTTGGAGTCTGATTCAGAGACGCCCAATGGGTTCATGTACTCTGCGGTTCTTAAAGCTTGTGGCATGGCGGGTTACATCAGAACGGGTAAATTGATTCATGAGAGGATATCTAGTGATAGGTTGGAGTTTGACACTGTTTTGATGAATGCCCTTTTGGACATGTACGTAAAATGTGGGAGTTTGAGTGATGCTAAGAAAGTTTTTGATGACATGTCAAGTAAAAACACCACTTCGTGGAACACGATCATTTCGGGGTACACTAAGGCTGATTTGATGGATGAGGCAGTGAATTTGTTTCATCAAATGCAAGAGCCAAATGTTGTATCTTGGAACAGCATTATTGCTGGTTTTGCAAACAATGGAAGCCCACGTGCTTTTGAATTTATGTGTTTAATGCACCGAGAAGGCCTCAGACTCAATGGTTTTACTTTCCCGTGTGCTCTTAAAACCTGCAGTCGCCACGGTTTGCTAGCTTCTGGGAAACAGATTCACTGCTATGCCACAAAGTCAGGTTTTGAGTCTGACTGTTTTACTGTGTCAGCTCTGGTTGATATGTATTCAAATTGCAATGGACTGACTGAAGCCAGAAAGCTGTTTGATCAGCACTCAAGGTGCAATGCTTTCATTTCTGATAGTTTGGCACTTTGGAATTCTATGCTTTCAGGATATGTCATTAACGAACACAATAGTGCAGCTTTGGATTTAGTTTCAAAAATCCATTGCTCTGGTGCATGCATGGATTCCTACACTTTCAGTGGTGCTTTAAAGGCTTGCATCAACTTACTCAACTTGAGACTTGGTCGTGAAGTGCATGGCTTGGTTGTCACCACAGGGTATGAGTTATATCATATTGTTGGAAGCATTCTTATAGATCTCTATGCAAGACTGGGGAACATTAAGGATGCATTAGGATTGTTTGACAGGCTTCCGAATAAAGACACTGTAGCTTGGTCTGGTTTGATCATAGGGTGTGCTACAAAGGGACTAAGCTGGCTATCATTTTCACTGTTTCGGGATATGGTGTATTTGGATATTGAAGTAGATCAATTTGTCATTTCGTTTATTCTTAAAGTTTGTTCTAGTTTGACCTCTCTTGGAAGTGGCAAACAGGTTCATGCTTTCTGTGTTAAGAGTGGATATGAATCTGAGGAAGTTGTAGTAACATCCCTGCTTGATATGTACTCAAAATGTGGTGAAATTGAGGATGGGTTAGCTCTGTTTGATTCTTTGGAAGAAAGAGACACTGTATGTTGGACAGGGATAATTGTGGGGTGTGGGCAAAATGGAAGAGCAGAGGAAGCAATTAGATTATTCCATCAGATGATAGAAGCAGGATTGAAGCCAAATGAAATTACATATCTAGGTGTTCTTTCTGCCTGTAGGCATGCTGGACTAGTTGAAGAGGCAAGGACCGTATTCAGTTCCATGAAAATTGAACATGGAGTGGAACCTGGTTTAGAGCATTATTATTGCATGGTTGACATTCTTGGTCAAGCTGGATACTTTAAAGAGGCAGAACAGTTAATTGCTGAGATGCCATTTGAGCCTAACCCAATCATATGGAGAACATTGCTCGGGGCCTGTGGAACTCATAAAAACACTGAACTTGTTAATGTTATTGCTGATCGCATTCTCACAACTTTGCCAGAAGACCCTTCCACATATGTGACACTTTCAAATGTTTATGCAGAATTGGGAATGTGGAATGATTTAAGCAAGGTTAGAGCAGCTGTCAAGAAAGTGGGTGCAAAAGATGCAGGAAGGAGCTGGATTGAAGTTTCAAGTTAAGAAACACTGCATTTTTAAATTGTATATGGTGCAGAAACTAACTTCCTTTGCATCCATATTCATTTTATTACCGAAGACCTAACAAGAATCTCTGAAAACAGATGGCCCTTGGTGGCATAGTCCAAGGAGATGTTTATTTTTATTTTTATGGTATGGTATGTCAAACCACTTCCTTAACTCTGTTTTAATTTTAAACCTACAAATCAATCTGATTTTTTTCCCCTCTTTCTTGAGGTTGAAATTTGGATCTAGCCAAGCCATCAAAAATTTCCCCTCTTAATAGAAGAAAATGATAGAAGCAGACTAATTTACTTATGTAGTTCAACTGTGCTTTTCATTTTGTGCTTCTGCTGTCACTTGTCTATCATATTTGTTTTGTTTACTTATTGTTGTTTTCCTGTTTAATGCAGGTTTTGATACAGCTAACTGCATCATCTAAATGCACAGTTGCTCAGAAAGATCTCGGTACATAACCCTTATCTCTGGTCTATGCATAACTAATTTCTATTTTGTCATTGCTTCCTTCTTGCCATAAAAGGAAAGATACACATTCCTCTTGGTCTTCACCTAATCATAAGTGAAATATTTTTCTGTTATTGGAAGTAAATCATCTTTCCTTCTATGGCAGAAGGGGGGGAAAGAGAGAAGCCATTTTAGCTGATCAGTTGTCAATTTTGCCTCTAGTCTTGCATGTGCCAATTGTTATCTTTCTGTCAAATAGCCTTTAACTACAAGTTATTGCTCTTATCCCAATCCAGGAAGAGGTTGACAGAAAGATGGTCCTGGAAATTAAACCGGGTAAGCTGGTCCAACCCAAATGAGCTTGACCCGACAGAATTGGAGCAACAAGAGGAACATGGGTGGGCTCCACCAGTTGCAGGCAGTGAGGTCCTCCATCTTCACTGTTGAATGCAGATAAAACAGGTCTTTGCTTTGTAAGGCCTCCACCGTGCAGAAATGGCAGAGAACTCTTTGTCATTGCTCCCCTCCTCCTCCTGACCCTTTCTCTCTCCTCTTTATAAAGTGAGAGCATGAGCTGCCCTTTCCTCAAGCATGCCTTGGATTATTCTTTCTTTTTCAGTTTTTTAACTGTCATCAATGGCTCATAACATAAAGTTAATGCAGAAAAGCTACACAGATATTTACGTATAAAAAAATTTCATAATTTTCGCGCCGTTCTCTTTTTGGCGCCAAACTTGACCACTTCCAAGTTCCAAGTGGTAAAGAAACTGATACCGTGTGGTAAAATTATTCTGGTGCATTACTAATTACCACCTCGCCTGTATATATATATACATCCATTGAAAATGTGCAACATGTCATTTTCTAAAACAATTAAAGCATTTTTTTAATATAATTTTATTCTAAAAGGTGAAATTGAAGTTTTAATTCTGCTGAAAAAAAAGGGTTATAATCTTGTATAAAAGATAAACGGAAGTATCATCAATTGAAGTGATGATACGGTATCTGTGTTTAGAGGTTGGAAAGTAAATAAATTATTATTTTAATTATAAATATTATAAATAAATATCAAAAGTAGAGAGATGGGAGAGATAATGGAAACAAGTGGACTAAAAAAAGGAAGAAATGGGATGAGGACAAAATCGAGCCATACCGTTGCATGCACCATTGTTGTTAGAACTTAGAACCTTCTAATCAAACACCAAGAAAATTCCAAATGATGAGACAATGAGTACAAAAAAGGGGTCAAGAATTAGTAAAACTAGGGCGGGGCCCTCAAATCAAGAAGCCATGCGTAACCTTCTATCCTTGTTGCTTTGCTCAGTAAAAACAAGACCAGAAGACATGAAATGACACAAGATTTGGAAGGTCGCTTCTGCCTTAGCACCCCGCAAGAGAATGCATAGAGCAGATTAGCATTTGACTTGAATTCATGGTGCAATGGGCAACATATTCCAAATCTTATTTATTTTTAATGGTTAAATACTTTTTTTGTTGTTGGGTTTTACATAAAAATTCAATTTGGTCACTGAAAAAAAAAAAAGCCAAATTGGTCATTGGCTTGAAATTGAAATTGTGAGGTATAAGGAAAATAAAAAAGCCAAATCAAATTAAAATGAAATCAACAACTTTCCAATATATTTTGATGCTCTATCACCTTGATTACGTCTCATTGCCATCGAAAGTCACAATACGGTTCTCACTCAATCGATTCAAGCTTCAATATAGCATCCAATTTGACCACTCACAATTCCGATTTCAACCCAAGATTTCTTCCAATTCGTTAAAATCCTAATAGTACAATATATCCTGACTCATAAAAAAATAAAAATAAAAGCTGCACTTTAAGGAAGTTAACGGAAAATAATAGAATGTCTATGAATTGTAAATTTTACGAAACACAGTGACCAAATTGAATTTTCAAGTAAAACACAGCGACCAAAAAAATATTTAATAATTAGAGTTGAAAGAGTTCTTGAGTTTGAATATCCATTTCTCGTCGAGTCTAATATCTAATACTAAACAAGATTGTGTTACTTTTGACCTCTCAGTGTGTGAGCACATGAAAAATATGAGAACGTACTTGTATTAATGTTCCTTTCATTTTGTCTGTTTGTTTCCCTTTCGCTTGGCCGTGAAAGCGCAAGCTTGTCCATTTCCTTTTGTTTGATGTAAAAGCTGCCTACCCTTCTTTAAGCTCATATCAAACTTTCAAGGCCAAATAACTTAGGAGGAGCCCTTAAGAATGGCCTAAACTGGGAATTTAGGGCCATTAGGTTGGACTTGGACATTAAAGCTTGATGATTATTGTATTGTATTTCTGACTTGTAGTTTCTCAAGGAATTATTATTTTCTTCTTTCTTCCCTCACAACTTACATTGCAAGGGGAATGCAAATAGAAATCTAGATTAAAGAGAACAAAAAATTTACCTCCTTGGTAGGATGAAGATATACAAATTCCAAAACCCAGTTTTTACTTAATGTCACCTTAGTCATTAATGCACTAACAGTTACACAAATTTTTATGCAAATAATTTATCTAAACCAGCATGACTCCTTTGTCATTTAGCATCTGTCAGCTGGCACCAAGAACTTTAGGGTTCCTCGTTGACCCAACAAAAATTATCTAAACAATTCCACCAATCTATGTGCATGCACATCCTTCTAAGTTCTAAACTGATAGACCGATCATAGTGGATCACTTCACTCACTCCCCACAAAACACCAAATTTTAGAAGATGTTCAAAAGATTATACACAGAACAAATTACAGTTTGATGCGTATGCATAAATTTTTCTTACATAAACAGCTAAACGAGGCAAATGTAGAATTAAGTCATAATCATCTTAGCAATATATAACATAGATGTGGCCAAAAACTCATTAAAAAGTTTAGAAACCTCCATATATGACAACAAAACAAGGCAAAATAGCCTTGGGATTAAACACATACAACTCATCCAAATTAGAGTAGACTCCCACAGCTCCAGCCACAGAGTCATACTCTTCCATACCAATAGGTCCAATACCAATACCATCCTCCATGTTCTTCTTCACCCTCCCTGCAATCACACGACAAACCAGCATTGCCCTCTTGCCACTGTCCTCTGCAGCAACCACAGCCTTGTCATGAGCTCTTCCACTTGTTGCTGTTGTCAAAATGCCGTCTTCGATTAGGTCTCCAGAGAACTTATTGAACCCATTTTTTATTATGCTGCAGATATTGCAATGTGGAATTGAGTTGCAGAGATTGGAGGAGCCGTTTAGGCCTAGTGAGCACACAAATGTGGTGCTGTGGAACCTGAGGAGCTCATTGCCGTCTGCAATGCAGCGAGGGTGTTTCTTGGGGAGCTTGGTGGCTTTGGCTTTGATGGATTCTCTGTACTCTTCAAATTTGGAGATGGTCTTTTGGGTGTTGTGGACTTTGAGGATGCGGTCGATTTTACATATCGGGGTCTGTTTCTTTAGCCAGCTGGACTGGAATATGATCTCCACTATGTTCTTGCTTGTGTCTTCAGGACCCAGTTCAGAAACTGTGGATTTTGTGACAGAGATTAAAAAAGATTGTAACTTTGAGCATGGTTTTCTGAAATTTAGTTGAAAAGACTGAAAATTTGAACATGGTTTTCTGTAAATTGTGTATTGATATTGGTAGCATGTTTTGGAAATGATGCAGGAAGAGGAATGGTGCTCATGAACTCATTGTAACTAGCTAGTAACAGAAATTAATTCTGCATTGAAGTATGAGAAAGAGAGAGAGAGAGAGAGAGAGAGAGAAAGACAGATTCTGAAACTGAAAGTTTATGGCTTCATAAGTCCTAGCTGATAATACTTATTATAAGCTCAGAGTGTAGAGATAAATTAATTTTTAATGTACCTTTTCTGTGATGAATAAAGACATTTAATTATTAAAGGCAATAAAGGGTTTTCTCAGATCACGTCACATGTGTGCATGATTAAAATTGTTGAGAATTGTGTGAGGTACCTGCATGCCTAACAGCCTGATGAAGCTCCAAGTTCTCAGCTTTCATGAAAATCTCACCACATTCAGGACATGAACAAATGCTGCCTCTCAGAGAGGGGTCTCTGGCAAAACCAAGAACAGGATCAACCACCATTCTGCACTCATAGCAGCCAGAGAATCTCCTGAAAGGCATTGCTCTAAAAGACCCAGCACCAACAGAAGAATTATTAGTAGATACTGCAGATAATGAAGAAGAAGAGGTAGAAACAACCCCATTGAGCTCATGCAGAGGAGCTTTCATGGATCTGCTTGAAGTTTCATTACTGTTACATGAACCCATTGAAGCCCTTTTCTTATGAACTTCAGGAGATCCTATTTCAGGCCTGTGCATGATTTTGGTGTTGTTACACAGTGAGCCAGAGCATCTCATTTTCTTGCTTTTCTTGGCAGCATTACTTTCCTCCATGGCTTGCTCATGCTGTTGTTGTTGTTGCGGTAGCTGCTTTTTGCGCTCTTGTTGTGGCTGAAGTGGTTGGAGATGTTTACAGGTCAATAAGCCTCTTACAACAGACCAATATGGTGGCTTCTCTGTCTTTTGGGGCTTCTGGTTCTGGTTTTGGTTCTGTTTCTGAGCCTTTTGGTGTATTTGCTTGGTGGGTTTTCTTTGGGTTTTGAGTTTAGAGGTAGCCATGGCTGAAGAAGACATCTAATTTGTGATGTTTGAGCTGAATAAAATGGTGGTTTATGGTTTTAGTTTCAGAATTGCAGATAGGGTTCTTTCAGAGACATGAGCTGAGACAGACAGCTGGGTGGGGTTGCAAAGGAGCTTCCTTTGCTTGCTTTTGTAGAAAGCTTTTTCTAGATTAGGGTTCTGTGGGGCTTTTCTTGTTGTGTGTACAGAAGTTGATTTATAAATAGATAAGTGATTGATCTGTGTAAAGATATTGTTATTTGTTAATGATGGGGGAGCGATGCTTGGATGGCAAGAGAAGACAAAACTATGGGTTGCACATATTTAATATATCTCTTATTACTAGTGAGTCAGTGACAAAAAAGAAACATAGCTTAGGATGAAGATTCAAAACTTAAAATCTTATATGATTCAAAAAAACCCTTCAAATCTCATACATGATTATCAATTGAAACATATTGGTATTACTACATTCAAAAACTAACAAAAAGTGGAAAGAGTTCTACATATTTTTATGGTAGTTGTGTTTCTTTTACTATTAAGAAATAAAAACCATTCAAACAACATGATCTGTTTTTCAAATGGCATTAGTGTGATGTTAACCATTTGTTATATAAACTACAAATAAAACTAATGATTTTTATTTATTTATATACATGCGATACTGGAAGAGAGGATAATCGAATTTAGGACCTCATGTGCAGAAATAAACGCTCTTAACTACTTGAACTACAAACCCCAATTTAAAACTAATGAATTTTAGTGTGAAACAAGAGAAATCAATTGAGACCAATGTAAAACTAATGGCATTTTACATGATTCATTCAAATAATTTTCTATAGGATTTAATTAATGTGTCCTCTCACCCACACACAATGCATGGCTCTCACATAAATATGACAATCCTTCCACATTATTGATTGGTTTTAAAACACTAGAATAATATATTCGAAGCAGAGCAACCAACAGGGGCTCGGTTTCAGAAACCCAACAGTAATTTATGGTGAGGCAGAGGTTGCCAACAGAAACTTCAAGCTAGGCTTTGGTTCCATCCTAAGCCCAAGGGAATACTTTTTTTGGGCTAAACACAGCGCACAATAAGGTAAGCAAACACACACTAATTAGACAATAATTATAGTGCTGCACCTCTCTTCTGGGGAAAAGCTGCTTCATTTTGATTCCTTTTGCTCTCAAAATCATGCAATGCCATATGGTGTTGGAATAAAGTTGTGTACTTTAATAAGCAATCCATTCCACCCAACAAGTTGTTCATCTTTAATTAAATGTTTTGATTGTTGCTTTTCATATCCCTATGCTTTAACACCAAGGGATGGCAAGCTTTGCTTGGTAACCGTTGCTAAGTACAAAGTATGGAGTATGAGAATCACAGAGTTAACAATTCGAAAATTTGTACTGTTAAGAAAGAGGAGGAATAACAATTCAAATTTGATTTGGACCTCCTTTTCTAATGCTGTATTTAAAACATGTAATAGTTTTAAGAAGTGGGGAAATGATAGAGCAATTCCGGGTGTGAATGTTATGAGCATCTCACTGGAGGTCTAGGACGAAAGAGTTTAAAAGGGTTTCTTCATCCATTGCTAAATTAATTTTTAGTTAGATGATCACATTCCATTCCAACTGTAAAAATTGAAAGTTGAACCCCTTGATAGCCTGCTTGGTAGCAAATTGTCAGTCTACTTCTTAACTAGATATTAAGCGATTTTATGACTCTACACCGCTAAAGATCACCACAATTTATAAGTTATCAACCATTGGAGTTGTAATAAGTTTGTCCCTCACAGTCGCTTGAAAAAAAGGACATCATGTGATACCATGGCGGTTCAAATTTGAGACCTCTAATTTGCAAGTCAATGTTCTTTTCCACTAAACCATATCTCGTTGGCAGAATATTGTTTTCTTGAAAAAACAAAACAAATAAATAAAAAATGAGAGCGACTACCCCCATGTGGGCCCAACCTTTGTGGAACCTAAGTCAATATGGCGGCGTCCAAATATCACCACTATTATTTATGAGAACTGAATGAGCTAGCCCAAAAACATTGGCAATGGGTCATAGGTAGCCCAATTATGTTGTTGTCTTCTTCAATCATTTGGGTGTACGGATTGGGGATGATTGGGCTAACTTGGGGTTTTAGGTAAACCATCATTTCATGTCCAATACGTATCGGCCCAAGAAAAAGCTCATGGGAAAGCAAGCAAGAGCGCCAAGATGGAGCGTTTCAAATTCCCAGTGCTTCTCTCTCGCTCTGTGCTGTGTGGTTTCAGGTCCTGTCTCTCTCTCCTCCTCATGGATATCAAAATCCCTCTGTTAAACCATAAATACCAAATCCCCAGTTGAATATCTTTCGGCCATTCCTTCTTCTTTGGAAATTTCCCATTTTGCCCTCTTGTCCCCATAGAAATGCCGGTGAGATCCATCCATGGACGGGGAGGCTAACCTTCCAGTCCGACCCGCTGGGGCGAGGAATTTGATCCGTCCGACCAACCTGGATTCCACATCATCTTCGTCTTCGTCATTCTCTTCCTCGTTCTCTTCCTCCTCTTCGCCGCACTTACTCCGCAATGTTCAAGCCGCCTTCAAGCGCCACCGCCCTCTCGGTAACTCTCTCTCTCCGTCTCTCAAAGTTAATGTAGTAACTAGGGTTTTCTTTGTGTAGTTGTTTTACTTTTGGGGTGAAATTGAGAATTCAAATTTGGGGGTTTTCTCGTTAGGGTTCTACAGTGAGTGTACCTTCTACAAATTCAAGGCTTCTTCTTGAATTTGTAATACTTGTGCCTTTACATTTTTCTGATAAATGCAAAGTTTGAGCTTTTGGTTTATCTAGTTGTTTAAGTACGTGCTGCCCTATTACAGTTTAGCTTATAGATTGTGGGCTTGATTTGGGGCATCACTGAACTATGCTCTGGGTTTTGAAATTTGGAGTTTGAAATTTTGGATAAAACTTTTATAGTAAAGCATATGTCTTTAGAAGTAAAACTGATTAGCTTTGGTACTACTGACCCTTACATGCTCAGTGATTATACTGAAAAAGCCGGCAGCCCATTTGCATCAAGTGCTCATTTATATGATTAAGATAGGATAAATTTTTTAGAATTACCTCATTAGTTCTTTGAATGTGATGAGTGAACGCACCCTTAATTCTTTAAGTGCTCATTTCGAGGAACATTCAGGAGTAATGCAGTCAAATAGCATAAAACCTCGGCGTATGGTGGTCCCCCAGCGAGGCGCATCCAAAAGTTCCACTTCAAGTGTGGCCCCTCTGATTGACACCAAGAAGTCGAGAGAAGTAGCTTCAATGAGTGAGGGTAATGCTGCAAAGGATTCAACTGTGCAGCCAAACAACGTGCCCACTGTTGTCAAGGAAACTCAAGAAGATGCATGTATTACACCATTTTCCAGTTCAGGCGCTAGCACCCAAACCTTTGATGAACACTTAAACCCATTTGATGGGCAGATAGATCAAATCAAACCTGGTGGTAAAGACAATAATCAGATGTGTCCTGTGAATTTCGAGTCTCAACAGATCGATGGTAAAAAAAAAGTCCAATTTTCAACGGGAAGCATTGCCACTCCCCTGGGTAATATTTCCTTACTTCTTTTAAATCTGCTGGGTTTTATTGCTGTGCTTTGGTGCTTCTTAGGCAGGTCTCTTTGTGACATTGCACAATTTTATGAATTATTGCTAATGCTGTGTACAGAATACTATTTTGAGGTTCTTTCTATGCCCCGAATATGTTTTCCTTCTCTCTTAACATGCAGGGGCCGATGATGATACGGCCACTGGATTGGAGTACTTATCATCTCATATGCGTTCACTTGCATTGACAGAAATGGAATGGGTTTCCAGCAGTCAAGCAGAGGCTTCAGCTGTTATCAATCATAACTCAAAGCATCAGAATATTCAGAACACAGAATCTGATATCAGTTTGAAGTCTGATGGTGGGATTTCTTCTTCATTGGCAAAGAGAACAACCGCCATTCATGATCAGTTGCATCAATTCAAGAACTTCTTAAGCCAGCCTATGACTCAATCCTCAGTTGTTGGGCCATCATGTGCTACGACAACGTCTGTCCATGCTACTTCAGCACCCATGCTTAGTTCGACAACTTTTTGTACTCATTTGAATAGTGGTTCTCAAGTGGCAGTAGAACCTTCGGGGGATTTTGATATAAATCCTCAACCAGTAACAGGAAAAATGATAAAGCCCTCAAATGCTTCTTTAAAGGACAGCAGTGGAATGTCAACTGACCATATAGCTGTTGCAGCCCAAACTTCTACCGCTGCAATTGATACCCAAATGCAAGTTAAGGGTTATGACCTTTCTAAGGAGCAAAAAGGCTGCATGCCGAAGGAAACTAAGATTATGGAAATCCCTTCTCTTCTTGATGCTAAGTCAATTGAAGGGAAAAGGCTTCCGAGTGATGTTACCAATCCACAATCTCAGGCTCCTATGCCCCAAAATTCGTGTACTGATATGAAGTTAGAGTCTTCTAAATCAGAAAAACAACAAAAGGCTGCAAGTGGTAAAGGTGCATCAGCCCCTCGTAAAAGGAATTACGATCCTGACTTGTTTTTCAAAGTTAATGGGAAGCTCTATCAAAGGCTTGGAAAAATAGGTAGCGGAGGGAGCAGTGAGGTTCACAAAGTCATATCATCAGACTGTACAATCTATGCACTTAAGAAAATCAAGCTCAAAGGACGTGATTACGCTACTGCTTTTGGCTTTTGTCAGGAAATTGAGTATTTGGATAGGCTGAAAGGAAAAAACCATATCATACAGCTTATAGACTACGAGGTACTCACTTTCAACCTAAAATCGTTCATATTATAACATGCAGATAATTTCATTTACAGCGTTATGTCTGGGTAAAACTATGCAATTCAAATTTCTGTATGCTGCGACAGAGACGAGGACCTAAGATGAAAATGAAGTCAGGTTGAAATCAACCATCAAATTAGAGTGTCGGTTGTAGACTC